TATTAAATTAATAATCAGCTTTATTTGCTTTCAATGTAAAAAAAAAAAATGTAAATTCAGTAATCTTATGCTCATCCTGAATAGAATGGAATCTGCTGCCCTATATGAAATTCTATGTTGCTCTTTACATATTGTTGAATCGTAGCCAATGCCAGAGCTCTTATTATTTCACTTACAATGGGAACACAATGGCATTCCCAATAATACGAATCTAAGCCAATAATGGACTCTTGTGATATATTTGCTGATGCATATTTGCAAGCCATTTATTTGAATCTGGAAATCCTTCTGCTATATCATTAACTTCATTTTCAAGTCAGTTTTTGCCGTTGGTGTCGTTGCTGTCGTTGTCATATATCTTGTGCGTCCATTAGATTGCATAATCACTGTTTGCTGTTGCTCCCATTGCTGCTGCTCCTCCTCCTGCTGCTGGTTTTGTTGTTTTAGAATCGGTTTACAGTTGGCTAAGGCAAAAAACATTGGCGTCGTTTTATTGCTCGCTAATCATCGGTTATATCGGAAGCTTCCATCTTGGCTAGCAAATGATTTATGGCCAGCATTGATACAATGCAGGCGGCAAACTGGGTGTGGGTATGACTGGTTAAGAGTTAGCTCTATCTCTCTCTCTCTCTCTGTCTCTGTCTCTCTCTGTCTCTGTCTCTGTCTCTGTCTTTCGCTCTTACTGTTAATATTCTATTTGTATTTTGTTATACCCTGAACCCATTTTCAATGGGAAATCAGGGTGTAATGGTTTTGTTAAAAGTGTATAACAGGCAGAAGAAGGGGTGGCAGACCCCACAAAGTATATCAGGGCGATGAGCTGAGTCGATTTGGCCCTGTCTGTCTGTCTGTCCGTCCGTCCGTATGTATGAACGCGTCGATCTCAGAAGATATAAGAGCAAGAGACCTAAAATTTTTTGCCTAGGTCCGTGTATATCACGCGCATATCGAGTTTTTCTCTAAATATCGATAACTACTATCGATAATTTATTATCGATTAAAACTAGGTATTTAATTATATCTCTTTAGAGCTAGAGCTACCAAATTTTTAATGTAGAGTTTTATAGAGTTTTATATAATTTCGGTTTTTGTTGTAATTTATCCCCAACCCCTATATCCACCCCCTTACCCTCACCTTTATTAAAGGCGCATTTCAAATACTAGAGACTTGTGCTTTAGCATATACACGCACTTTAATGTTATATTAACGACTTGAAAGTTTCATGAGCATAGTTCATCAACAAGAAGAGTTATTAAACTATTAAATTAACATAGTCCATACTGCTGCCAATACGTGTTTATGCTTGCATCTCTATGTTTTTCGGTGTGTGAGTGTGTGTGTTTCTTGTGTAAGCAGAAAGACTCGAAGAATTATTGTGAAATGTTAATTCTTCGAAGGGTTCAGGGTATTTCGAAGTCGAGCAGTCTCGACTGGAGCTTTCTTACTTGTTTTCTTCTTATTTTCTTGAAATTGTTGCAGATTTTGCAACTGGCACTTGGCTATTTGTCTTGAATTACTTTTCGATTTGCACTTTACACCAAGCACACACACACACACACAGTCACACTCACACCCACACTTAGATAGACACTCACAGATATACAAATGCACTTATTTATTTGGTTTTCAATTTCGGTTTTCGGCTTTTGCTTATGTGTATTGCTCGCCAAATGTTATTGGACAGGCGCACGCGCTGCCCTCGCCACCTGCCGCCACCCATCCCCCTCCCCGCTGCTCACCACTCCCTTCGCTCACGACAGACAAATTGCGCGTAAAATAAAACTTCAATTGCAGCAATAACACGAGCAGTAGCAACAGCAGCAACAGCAACAACAACAACAACTGCGGCTGCTGCTGCTGCTGTAAACAGCAAGAAAAAAAAAAATAAAACACAGAAAAAAGAAAAGCGTTTTAAAAACAATGAAAGTGGCAAATTCACAGCCAAAAACCGAGCGACTCCAAAAGCAACAACCACTCTACTAAGCCACCCAAACCACCCAGATCAGGCAGCCCAAAGCGCTTACAGCGAATTCGCAAATATAGCGAAAAGCTTGTGCATGTGTGTGTGTAGTGCATTTGAACTGTAACAACAAAACAGGAGTAACAACAGCAACAACAACCACAACAAAAACAACAACAACAACAATAGCAACAACATTAATGTTGTACGTGGCAAACCGAACAGCAATATTCGTTGCATTAAGCAAGCGCAACTACAGGAAAAGTCAAATTTTCCGCTTTTACCTGCAGTCGTCGATGGCGCTTTAAGGGTCAATCGCACCGCCGGGATAGAAAACGTGCAACGATATCGTAACAGCTAAAGCGCTGTATGTGTGTGTATGTGTCTGTATATGTGTATGTATGTGTGTAAAGCGAACACTTCAGCAAAATATTTCAAATTTATCAAATTACATTTTAATAATTATTTTTAACGTTTTCTTATTGTTCTGTTTTGATACAAAATTGAATGAAAATTGATTTGATTTCAATGATTGAGCTGTTGTAATAAATATAATTTATTATACTCATATTCCTATGTAGAATAATCTGACATAATTATTAATTTTAGAGGTGGCTCTTGCCATATTCAAGAAATAAATGAAAGTCGATACATGAATTACTTGAGTACACAGTAGAAACCGGCTATAACGACTCTCAAGGGAGGCCCTATAACTGTAGAACAAGCTTGTCTGGGGACCAGAATTTTCGTCGCTATAGCCGTACAGACGCTATAAGCAGAGTCGTTCTAACCGGATTCTACTGTATTTTATGCATGTAATAGTAAGGGCATTGAAACTAAAGACTCATCTAGAACGTATAGCGCATAGAGTACATGTGAGTTATTTGAGTATATTTTATACATAACAAATATATAGAGTATATTCGAGTTATATACATAAATATTTAGTAAATTGAAACTAAAAATTCTTATAGAGTAAACAAACGTATAGAGAATATGTAAGTTATTTGAGTATATTTTATACATATATAGAGTGTACGTGAATTAAAGCTAAGGGCTGTTCTAGAGTAAGCAAATATTCGAGTTATTTGAGTATATTTTATAAACAAAGACTTATTGAATGAAAACCAAAAATTCTTTTGGAGTAAACAAACATATGAGATATTTGAGTACATTTCATACACAAGGATGGAAACTGAAGTTTTTTAGAGTATGTGTATATGTATATGTTTGTTATATAAAGTAGTTCAGCATATTTGAATATATTTGATACATATGTGAATTGAAGCGCAAGACTCATCAAAAATAGAGAAACATATAGACTTTTGCACTTTGTTGACATCTCCAAATCAAAGGAAAGTCAGGGTATATCGTAGTTGGGCCAACTAATATTCCCGGTATCTCCTAATTGACTTGCCTTCACGTGGGTATTGTCTTAAGAAAACATCTATTGAGCACTCCGAACTGTTTTGAAGGTTGTGAAGAGTTTAGCTTCAGGAATTAATAAAACTTAAGAAATCCTAAGGCTCGAGAGCAAAACCCTAACTTCCTCAATTTTCATTGTGGCTTTGGGAACTAACATTTTTAGCTTAACAGTGCATCTCATCATGGCAGAACTAATAGCTACAGTCCTAATCACTTGCAAATCTACATAAAAAAAAAACACACACACACACACATAACCTTCATCTCGATATCATTATTTGGCCTGAGAGGCTTGCAGCTGAATGAATTAGCTTGAATTTGATTTTTAATTATCGGCCACTCTGGAGCTCAGCTAATTTCTCGAACTTTTTGCAGTGGGCGGCGCGTGTGGGCGTGACAGCTGTTAGGGAAAGTGCAATTGGAACTGGAACTGCAATCGGTATCGGAATCGAGATATACAAGAGTCCAGGCAGAGGCCTCACCGGCCCCATCGCCTCCATCGCCCCCATCGCCCTCGCTCCCCGAACTGCCCAGCCACTGGAGGGGCAGACGTAGCGGGGACCGCTAGCAGCGCAATGTCGATGCTGGCAGCTGCAACGTCGACGTCAACGGCGATGCCAGTGGATGCCATTGCCGCAGCGAAAATGTTTTCGGATGCGGATGTGGCGGAAGTGCGGCACGTTGTGCAACGCATTTTGGTGCCGTGCGTTTTTGTTATTGGACTATTGGGAAATTCAGTGAGCATTTATGTTTTGACGCGGTAAGTGCACTTGTTTGCGATGCTGATGCCAGCTACTGATGCTAGCTACTGCTATAGCTGCTACWACTGTTGCCACAATAGTTGTTGTTGTTGCTATTGCAAGGATTACGGCCGAGCGGCCAACAGCATTCAAATGCTGCCGCAATGTGTATGTGTGTGTGGGTGTGTGAGAGTCTGTCCCTGTGTGACTCTGTGTGTGTGTTTGTGTATTTTATGCATTTTATGTTTATGTTGCGTGCTGCATGGCCAACACAACTGAAAGCAGGTATGCAGCACATTACAAAAGGCATTTAATTGTTGTTACCATCTAGCTGGCACTCTAAAATCATTTCATTTCCCAAAATGCCAACAACAACAGCAACAACAAGAACAATTTCACGTGCTAACGGCTCACAGATAAGCGTGCGCTCTCTGTTGCATTCACACTTGAATTGCCTCAAAATAGGCAAAATTGTTGGTCGCTGCAAGGGAGTGCGTCAACAAAAGCTGAATGCTTCGACACGCAGCGGAAATGCATACAACATGTAGCTGATCTAGCTGACTGTTACGGTACTATGAGTCACGGCAGAGCGTTTGGCATAGCGAGCAGCTTTGTGTTGCGCGTGGGTCAGATTGATTACATGTGTAACAGTAGACAATTGCTGATTGCTACAGAACTCAGATTAGTTAGGTTGCAGAGATTTATAGAATATTTTAAATATGTATATATGTATGTATAAAAAGTAATTTTCCAATCAGAATCTAGTCAAACTCTTTTGCAGATATAAATAAGAGCTGAAGATAAATGTATAAAATTGAATATGAAGATATATTATTTGGTTAAAATTTAATAATAATAGCTGAATATAATTACTCCAGTGTGCTACAATTCTACAGAATGCAACACTTTGCAAGAAATCAATCTGGCAAATAAAGTAAATGTCCGCAAAGAAATGGCATACATATATACATAATTACTACAACTGAAAGTTTCACTGATATTTTATCAATCGCAGACTGGATAATTTGTTCGTTATTTGAGGACTCTCTGACGTCTCTTTAACAAATTCTTTTAGTATATTTGTTGGCCAAATCTTAGATCTTAGCAGCCAGTCATCTGTATGTCATATTCAATTCAATAGCAAAGACGTTGCAAATTGCTCATTGATATGACACTCCGTCCGGAGCTCATGCCCTCTGCAGCTTTGTAGGGCATTTCTGTGGCGACATTGGCCGCAAAACGGTAACTTTCTCGCCGCTCCCACAGCATCACAATTGCCAACAACTAAATATGAACCGTTACGTTTTATGACCTTGCCGACATTTGCGTGCATTTGCCAGATTTCAATCCAGTTGCCCGGCTGCCGTCTGCCCTCTGCTCGTTGCTGGTTGCTGGACAATTTGGTTATTCAATTATTGCTGCATTTGGTTGCAGTTGCATCGCTCGGATCCTTCGCACTGTGGCTGTGCAGCCGATTTGCATACGCAAACAAACAATTTGCTTTAATACTTACTTTTATTTATTTAGCCGGGATCTAATTTTTTCCTTTTCCGCTTTCCTTTTTTTCTTTGCCATTTTCTATTTTCCATTTTCTATTTGCCATTTTCTATTTTCTGTTTTCTATTTTATTTTGCTCTCGTTTAGCAAACGCATGAGGTGCACCACAAATATTTATCTAACGGCTCTGGCAATTACGGATATTGCGTACCTGACCTTTGTATTAATTTTATCACTCAAACACTACGAATATATCAAATACCACTGCGAGCTGTACTGGCTCCTCTACGGATTCGTAGTGTGGCTATGCGATGCGTGCGGTAAGTGAGAATTGTGAAATGCGATTATGTGGGAGAGTAGGGAGCTAGTTATGGAAAAGATAATTGAAGGAGGATAAATATTTATAGTGAAGATCCTGCTACCTTTTAGGTAACATAGTCTTAGCAGAACACTGATGGGATAGAAGAAAAGAAAATTATAGGGTGTAGTTATTACAGGTAAACTTCTGGGGAATATGTGAGATATTTTTAGTCAAGACCCGCTCTGTAGTAGCTCTGAGGTTGGACTGAGTCTATACTTAGTTTTAGTGTGGCAGCTTGTAGATCGTAAAGCTGCAGTACTTAGATGCTTCATCACGGGTTTGACCAGATAGTCTATTCTTTGAGCCTTGGATTATAACTTCAATTCCAATCAAACCCCAGTCTTGTGAAGGACATTTGAGTCTTTTCCTATTTCTAGCTGATTTTCGGGCTGTAGTTTGGGTGTGTGTCTAGGTTCTCGAGGTACTTCTTGGCCATCGCTTGGATTTTATAGCCAATTTTTGGCAGCATGAGGTCTCGCTAGATGTTTCTGCATTCATTATGTTCCACTTCTCCTAAAGAACAAAAAGCTTATTTAGCAGGATAACATTGTAGAGGCCGGAATCTCAGATAAGTACTCCTAAGCTCCTCAGATGACGATGAGTTCAGCCTCTTCCACTGAGAGTTCCGAAGATAATTTGCAATAATGTTCCACGTTCCACTTCTCAGCCCATTGCTGGAGCACTTCTAGGCATTGCCTAGCCGGGAACAGGCAGCTGCAACGGACGCAGCTCTCCCATGGAGTGCAATCAGCTTAGATTTCACTTAATATGATCAAGTTGCATTTTATTTCTATCAAATTGAATTTGCTGCTATTCAATTATATCAATATATGTACAATATAAATTATTGAAATGCTTATAGACATTTCTGAAATCCCCCTAAGTCGACATAATTGAGTTGCTTTCACTAGCGGCATGAAACAAAGTGAGCTTAAATGCAAAATCCATAAAAGCGAAAATCCTTGAGCAGCCTTAAGTAGAGGACAAACAATTAGACGAAAATTGAGAAGTAAATTGGAAAGGAAAACGAAGCTGAGGCAGCTCAGAAATGCGCCCAGAAAAGAGTCCAGAATACGGAATTCAATATTTGAACAAGTTTAAGCGCTCATTAATCAAGCAAATTGTTTAAGCAATATATATTGTATATACATATGTATGTATGTACATATATTAGAGACAGATATACAGTTAACTGTGGTAGTTTGTTGACCACTAACTGAGGTAATTTTAGCGCCTGGCACAGGCACAGGTGAGCCGCTCTACAAAAGGCATTTTGATGAGTGGTGGGCGGTGGGCGGTGGGCGTTGGGCGGGACATTATTAATAGCTCGACTGTGAGCGCGTTCGTGTTCAACAACTGTATACTGATATCGGCTTGCTTGAATTGTTCCCATTCCACACTAACACACCCACACACTCACACCCACACATACACACAGCATACATCTCAATTTACATAGCCGTGTGCTTTACTATCGAGCGATTTATAGCGATACGCTATCCGCTCAAAAGACAAACATTCTGCACGGAGTCGCTGGCCAAGAAGGTAATAGCAGGTGAGTGTGAGTGGGCAGCGCCTAGGCTAGGTATGGCCTGCCTGGCTTGGCCTGGCCTGGCCTGGCCTGGCCTAAGCGTTGCACGTCGTGTTGTTGCCACGGTCGCAGCACTGAGCCAGCCTTTGTATTGTTTTGACAGCCGTCGCGCTCTTCTGCCTGCTGACTACGCTCTCGACGGCGTTCGAGCACACATATGACATCAATTGGAAATTGATTGATGGCGCCTATAGGCCCTGCAATCTGACGCTGGCAAATGTGTCGCCCATGCCAACGCCCACGCCCACGCCCATGCCCATGCCCACACCGGCTCAGACCATGACCACGGCATGGCATATAGAGGAGCCAGCTGGCAATCCAGCCACGTCTCGCTATCTGGAGCCTTTCGATTTGAGCAGCGACAGCGGCAGCGGCAGCGGCGCCGGTGAGCCAGGTAAAGTAAAGTAACTTAAATGCTGGCTGCTCTTTAAATACTTTTTATTCGCATAATCAATTTCACTCTTCTCCTCCCTCTCTCTCTCTCTTTTGCTGTCTCTTTGGCAGACCACATTCCAAGCAGGCAGCGACGGTTACCAGCATTCACGTCCGCCTCTGTGGGCGTGACTGCGCCAGCCACTGAGCCGACAACAGCGTCGGCCACTGCGAGCTTGTTGCAGTTGTCACGTGCCAGACGCAGCGAGGACAACTACAACTATAACAACGATGCCAACAACAACAACAACAATGACAGCGGCAACGACAACAACAGCAACAACAACAATAGCGCATTCGCATTTAACATTACGGAATACTGTCAAAATGTAAGAAAAGAATGTGAATGAGAATCGCACGTAAATTTAATGCCCTGACGGACTTACCGAGCCACTGTATTGGACAAGCGAGAATTGCGCAGGGAATAAACAGAAATTCGAGGGAAAAAACTGAAATGACATGTATACCATTATTTTAACCCATTTATTATATACATATAGCGCTTAATTTAAAAAAAAAAATGAATTTTACTATTACATAAACCCTAAAGTCTACTGAAAAATTGATATACACACATATAAAAAATATATATATGTATCTGGGCAATTGCTTTAATTTAGATCCATTATAATCCGTTTGTGTTGAGCCTATTGATATCTAACTCTAGATATGTATACTATATATGCCATATATACAGATCAGCTTGAATCACTATATTATATAACACTCATACAATAGATTGCTCTCTAAGAAACTAGCTTTATTGTGTAATATAATATATAAGTACAAATTTAGCTCTCTGTAGAAAAGATATAAGTTATTTCTAAACTAGAGCAAAGATTTTCTTTATAATAATATCTCTAATCTGTATGCTGCAGAAAATTCTGTTTTAATTATGTAAATTCTTCAACATATAACCAAATTATGAATTATAGGAAATCCGTCTACAAAATGAGTTTGGTTATGAATGGCTGTTCGATTTATGAAAGATCTGCAGAGCTGCATTAAAAATGTAGAGTAAGCGCAATTGTCTAACAAGTCAGCCTCTCTTTGATAATTCCCCTATTCCAGTCATCTGTATGTCTAGAGCATTTGATTGAGCCTAGTTCCTGTCTGATTCAAACGATTTACGAAATGAAAAGAATATATTGGTTTTGTGCAGTGTATTTCCTTTTTATCGCAATGTTGTTCATCCGCCTGTTCCGCTGGGTCTACTAGAAGTGTAGTAAGCTGGGAATTACTATATATAATTGAGAAACTCTATTAAGGTGTTAAAAGCTTGAAATTATACAGAGCTGCAGACGTGGTTTGAGATGGTATACTCCAGAAATGTACTCTTAGGATCCTTTATATATAGACCAAAAACAATGTATTTGCGCCTACTGAGGACTTTGTAAATTATATAAGCTATAGAGAGTTTTGTACAAGTCTCTTCATTCCAGAGTTTTTAAGTTAAAATCATTCAAACCGAGGAGGTTTAGTTTCTAGCTTAAAATATGGAATTTTTGAGGTCAGAAAATCTATGTCTATAATATGTATAAGTAGCTGTTAGTTTCGAGCGGGTATCTTACAGTCGGGCTATACTAATAAGAGCCCTCTTTTGTGAGCTCTGTTATCTCAATGCACATGCGATTCAAGTCTCTTATTTGAAATGAAAAATATTGAACATCTTCTAATTAATTGGCATTTTGATAAACCTCTTTCGTTGCCAGATGACTTTCTACACCAATGGGCTGTCGAGTCTGGGCCAGAATGCGCTCTACTTTAATATCTGGAGCGTTTACACGCTGATTGTGTTCGTGCTGCTGCCGCTGTTCGTGCTGGCCACATTTAACTGTTTCCTCATTCTGCTTGTGCATCGCTCGAAGAGTCTGCGCGGCGATCTGACCAATGCCAGCAGCATTAGGCGTACTAAGGTAACTGTGCAGCCACGCCCATTCGCCAACTATGAACTAATTGACTGATTGCAGCGCAAATCGAACTCGGGCCTAACGGGCAGCGTCTCACAGGAGAATCGAGTGACCATCACGCTGATTGCCGTCGTCCTGCTGTTCATCGTCTGCCAGCTGCCGTGGGCCATCTACCTGATACTGGTGCAGTACGTGGACATCGAGATGAACATACAAAGGATAGCGGGCAATGTGTGCAACCTGCTGGTGGCCATCAATGCGGCTGCCAATTTTTTCTTATATTGCGTGCTGTCGGACAAGTATCGCAAGACGGTGCGTGAGCTGGTCACCGGCTATCGCTATCGCCATCGACATGCACGCAACAACATCAGCCTCTATGTGCCACACACCAGCACCACGCTCAACGGTGACGGTGCCAGCAGCGTGGGCAGCGGCGGTGGCTACAATGCCTACGGTGGTGCCAGCAGTCGGCGTTGCCGTGGCAAGGCGGCGGTTGCAAGGCGCCTGATTGCGTGAGTCACCAGCCGATAGTTTCTTCCGATCAACGTTTTTGTTTTCTCTCTATAGACATAATTATAAATATTTTTGTTTTCCTATACTCTAGATATACATTTATTATGTCTATTTTTCGTTGTTTTGCTCTATATATAAATACTTTAGATATATAGTACGTACATATACATACATATATCATATATGTTTTTTTTTATCAGTCAAATTCGCAAGCTGTACAATCCTAAACTACTCTGTAATAGGCTAAGTTGAGCAATATATGCGTAACTATTTTAACTCCATGTATATAAATACATAGATTACACATACATTTATCTATATATGTACATGCATATACTACCAAACATTTGTGCCATATATGTGATGATTATAGTTATACGATCTGTAGCTATCCTAAACGTAATTACTGTTATCCTAAGTGTCAGAAATGTAGTCTAAATAAATCATTTTTTGAACTACTTTGTAGTCGATTCATTCGATGGTGAAAATGTAAAGCTGTGGGTGAGAGTGTTTTTGTAATGGGTGCCTGGCCAAGAGATAGCTGGAATCCAGCGTAGATCACTTGGATTGTAGTGTTGACTAACTTTTGTTCTAGATGGATCATTGTATTACGAATTGGTTATCGTATTACTAATAAGTTTGCCAAATGGAAGAGATATTCAAAATATTAATTATGCAAAGGCTGGGTCGAGATCAAAGAGGCAGTAAATTGGAAATCTTTGGTATTTGTGTTATTTAATAAACGATAAAAGTATCAAGTAAACTGATCGATTATTATCGATAATTATTAAATGACAAAGGGTAAAATTAAAGTTGAGCAGTTTGCTTTAATTATCTACAAAAGATCGATAATCAAGTAAGTTGATTGAATGTTATCGATAATAAGGAAATGTAGAGAAATATAATATTTCTGTTGCTGTGGTTGTTTTTCGATGTGAGAAATATTCGATATATCTACAGCTCTACAGCGCTTCAGCCTGATCGAGAATACATAAATAGTTTTTAGGATCTGCCACGCCTCCTTCTGTCAGTCCAAACATTTTTACAATAATCTCAATTCATATTATATGGGCATATAAAAATTAGTTTATCTATCAATTCCTACTTCATCTCTTGACAATTTTCAATTTCCATTTGCGGCCCTTATCTATAACTGCTTTCAATTGGATAACTGGCCATTTGGCAATAACAGAGCACGAATTGTTGTCGAAGAACTGACTCGAGTTTGGTTAAGCGTTGTCAACGAAGGAGGGCGAGAAATGTGTCTCACCGCCCGACGGCCCGACTGCCCGACAGGAAATTGTCTATCGATTAACATCTGCAGCCAGAGCAAGCGCTGAGCAATAACGCAGCTCTGTCATATTTCGCTGGCACTTGACAGAAGCAAACGTCAAAACTTGAACGGCAATAGGAACTGGAAAAGGCCGTTGACAGCTGTCTGAAAAGGGAGGGGGTAGAGAGGTAGGTAGGTAGGCAGGTGGGCAGGTAGCAGAGCTTGAGAATATTGAAAATAGACAGCACTCAATGCTGGGCTGCTGCTGCCACAATGGGAAACTGTGAAAGTTGAAAAAGTCAGGGCGAGCCGAGTGGCCTCAGGTGAAGCCAGGAAATTGCATTATTTCAAGTTCAACTGTAAAGGTAAATACCAATTGATAGTGTGGCACGCATTGAAGCCACAAAGCCGATACGCTTCGCACACACTGTAACTAAATGCATTTAAGCCTTTTTTGGGAATGCGCTTAAACCTATGTACAATGGGAATTGGGCTAAAACACGCTGCAATACGAAAATCGGGGCACAACTTGTGCAGACAAAACTTATGCACAGCGGGTAGTCGAGCCAGACCGCGTTGTCTCTATATATGTAGGTATATATATACAGCACGAGTCATCAGCATAGCGCAACTTTGACTTTGCCAGCTAATGCCTACATATATTTTCCTACATTATTCGAGCTATAGTCCTACAAGTCCTGAGCTCGTATACCTTCTGAGCTCGACCAACAGACTGACGGATAGGACTAAATCGACTCAGCTCGTTGCCCTGATCTAGAATATATATGTACTATAGGCTTTGCCACGCCTCCTTCGTTTAACAAAACCAATATAGCCCGATCTTCCCAATAAAAGTAAAAAGACTTTTGGCTCCAATAATGTAGTAGGGGCTATCCCGATGACGCGCAGTGTATTTTACTGTATATGTATGCAGAATATATATGTATACGAAACCAACCAAAAGGCAACACTCACGCACACACACACGTACATCGACTAACTGTAACAAACGTAATGGAGTAACAAACATTTGTGGTTTACTGCATTTGTTCCTGTGCGTGTTTAAGTGTGTGTGCGTGTGGGACACACACAAAAGCACTCTGTAAATACACTTGCAGTGATGAGCCAAAAAAAAAAAAAAATATAAAGCCAACTACAACAATTGCTATCAGCAACTGTGTGTGTGTGTGTGTGTTTGTGCATTGAGAGTGTCAGTTGCCTAGAACGGCTTTTCCCTCAATTTCCCCGGCAAGCTTTCACCGCACACACACACCAGCACACACACACCAGCACACACACACACTCATACACTGCACCCTTTTTCTCTGTTCGTGTTCATGAAAAATTACAAGTCAGCGTCACAATTGAAATATTTCCGCCTCAACGAACAGAAATGCGCAATCGAAAATAGTTATCTTGCCATTGGAATTTGCCAGAAATATGCAGCTGGCGGGGCGACTGGTCGGTCGCATGCGGATATGCCAGCGACAGACAGACAGACAGACAGCAGAGACAGACAGCCAGCGCTGTGGACAGAGGACATGTGCCGGCATATGTGGATTATATCTCTCTTTCTGAGTATGTGTGTGTGTGTGTGTGTGTGTGTGAGTCTCTCTCTCTGACTCTGTTTTTGTGTGAGGCATCGCCTACCCACTTTCAAGCTGCTTTGGTTGGTCCGAAATTTCCATATTTGATTGTTTTTGAGCGCCTGCAACAACAACAAAAACAACAACAATCACAAATGGTTCGGCTACGACGCGTCGTCTGCTTATTGAAAATGGTTTCGACTGGCCAGCCGCTTGGCGAATGCAATGTGGCATACTTCTGGACGCATGCCACAATCATTAAAATATCCAGCTAATGTGACTTTTTGATGCGCTGCCAATAGAGCTCTCTCTCTTTCTCTAGCTCTCTCTCTCTCTCTCTCTTTTGTATCAACGAAATGCTTGAAGTTAACGTATGAGCACTAGAATTTATTCTAAATATAGAAGAGCACACGATAAATGCTTTAAATAAAGTCGAGTCTCGATAATTCGTACCCCGCTAAATCGAAAATCGCGATAAATCGAAACAAAATTTTATCCTCTTAAAAGAAATTCATTCTCAATAATTCTCGATAATTTGGATTTCAATGTAAGCCCAAAAAAAATATCACTTTGTCTTTTCGACTCATCGGGATTTTACTGTATATATATGTATAGAGAACATATGAAGGTATCCAACTATTTATATATTTTTTTGTTTGTTTATATAGCTGCTCGTTATCCTTCTCAATCGGCTCAATGCTCGCGTCGCATAAGCATGTAAAGCATTCTCACGCACTAACACACATATACACACACAAATACATACTTATACACTCAGTCAGAGATAAGAAGTACGCATGACAAAGCGGCTTAAGTCATATAAAAGTACTGTTAGTACTTAAGTGGGTCGAATAATAAATACCTCGTAAATGAACTCTATCTGCCCTATTGAGCTGCCAAGATTTTCAAAGTAGTTTTTAGCCAATTCATAATCATTTAATGCACATGTGTTGGCATTATCCATTGTTCGTATTAGCTGTAAAGAAGATTTGCATGAATGATTTACAGCAACATTACTCTCCTTCACATTCGTTTTCCCAATTCTATCATGTCCCATGTTACCTATGCAATGGGTATTCAGACTAGGAACAAAGTATCAACAGAAGAGTCCCAGAAGTTGTCAAAAAGTTGCTTCAATAATAACTTTTGCATATGAAATGCTCTCGCTGAAAAGAGTCAGCGATGTGACACTAAAGGAAGCCAACTCAGAATGTAAAGCGTAAGTTATTATGTTAAGTAATAGTCGCATTGAAATAGAAACGGTAAAAAATTAGTTTGCATCTTCAGTTGAAAATTTATTAATAAAATTTTCTGGCCTCTTGAGATAAATTTATTTATAATATTAAATGTACATATCATTTATATATTGAATGCACAGCTCCACAGGTTTTTCCATAGATAAAAAATAATATAGCGTAAGGTATACTCAGGCGATCTAGCATAAACGTAAGGTATGCAAGGGTATAATGGATTTGTTGAAATATATGTAACAGGCAGAAGGAGGCGTGGCGTGGGTATGTGTGTGCATTTCTTGTGTTAGCAGAAAGACGCACTTGTTATAAATAGAACCTATAGAAAATGGAAAAACAGGGTATTGTGTTTATGTGAAAATGTATATAACAGGCAGTAAGGAGGCTTGGCACACCTCATAAGACATATACATACAAACTTGATCAGAATGATGAGCTGAGTTGTCCATCTGTCTGTCCATAAAAAYTACTATAATACAGTATATATATTATATGCTAAAGCGAACATACTATACTAGCTATATGCGAACAGACAGAAGTGAGAACGAACAGTTCACACAGAAGACACTGGCTCGGTCGAGTCGATTGTTTCTCTTGTTGGAGAATATATATAGAATATATGTAGGACAGCTC